AAATCAGGAAAAAAACCATGGAAACAAGAGTTGTGAGTTCGCATCAGTCATGTGAAGTGAGTGCCATTCTGATGAATTGAAAAGCTCTCAATGAATTTGCCATGAAATTCTGCAGTGAAGATTTTCCTCCCGTCTGAAAATGCTGGAAAAAAACCTGAAATCCTGAAACTGGGATCCCTGAATTAATTCTTTGACATCTCTATCTTAAAGTGCAACCAAGTCTTCCCAGAGAACTAGTGGAGTAGGCAAGCATTAGTGAGTCCAGCTCAGCAGGTGCTGAAACCATTGACAACCTCAGAAAGAACCCTAAGGTGCCTGATTCCAGGTAAATCTCATACATAAACATTGTGTTGCCCCTAATACATACACAAATGTGTGTGCTGTTTTGTGCACTGAGGACTAAATAAAACTTCTGTAATAGTAACTGCATTGTGGGATTAAGATTACTGCAGAGGACAGAGGGAGGACACTAGAAAACACTGCTGGGTGAGCATACATTATATAAAATATACCAAACCACAGACAGCTGCTTGTGCTTTGCTACCTTTACATCAGTGGTTAGTATTCCTGCTTGCTGATTCATCAAATCAAACAGATCACTACCTGTTTTCTGTCCTCCTTGGTGGGAGGTGAGATATTGACAGATGGCTCTCTTGAAAGCTACTTTCTCATATGTAAAATTAGAAATGTATTCAATAATTGCCTTTTTTCAAGCATATATTGGCTAACACAGGGTGGGCTTTACCTACACACATATATTCATCAGAGCAATGAGTTTTAAATCATTTTGTCCTCATTTCTTGATGAAGGTGTTTCATGAACACCAGCTGTTTCAACAAGCATGTATTTAGAAACACTATACACCAGTAAAAGATCATCTACAGCTTCCCCTACCAGCAGAACAGAAGTTTAGAAGGGTTTGTTTTGCATGCAATCAATGAGAAAGTCTGTACATTGGCCTGTGCCTAAGTAGTGGCCATGGTAGGTCTGCACAGGCAGTGATACAGCTACATTGGCAGCGCTTAATGTTGGGATATCAGTTCAAGGCAGAGAAGCCTGGGCAAGGAACTGGGGCTTTGGCAATGTAAAGAGTTTGGACTGAAGTGTATTCAAGGCTAGAAGTGGTCAAAACAATGAAAGCATTGTGAGGGTCTCACATTTTATGGCCTTTTATTCCCTCCAGCAAGTGAAATGGTTGCATTCCTCCATCCCATCCCTTCAACAACAGCTATTCTTTTCTCTTTTGAGAATAGTGCTTTTAAAAATTCAAAATCAAGTTCCCTGTGCTCTGTTTCCAACCTGCTGTGTAGTGTTAACTGGAGTCATTACAGCAGAAGCTGTACTTGGGGTCAGCCAGGAACTTAAAGAGGCTCTTTATCAGGTTTTGTGGGACAATATGAATGAGCTGACTGTGTGTGTGCTCTGCATCCCCTTGACTGGAAGCTAAATATGGTAGATCAAAGCTGCCTTCAGCCTGTCAAGATCCAAATTTCTAATGAACATTAAATATCATGGACAATGACATAGTACTGTGGTACACTACGCAAAGGTGTGAACAGTAGCAACGAAGTTGGTGTCAACAGGGTTGCAAGCAGGATCTGGACATGGTCATATTCACATCCTTTGGTTACAACAGGGTGGCATATTCCTTAAACGAGTATCAGCAATACATTGGTAACAATTAGAGATTCAAATCAGCATACTCTGGTTTTAGTAATTCTGTAACAATAAGGAAGCCTGGCATATGGTAGTGTTGCTTCTCTCCTTCATATGTATGTACAGCTGCAGTTGGTGCTGGTGGGAATGAAAAATCCGAAGTGAAGGCAGAGGAGTCCCATTGTTTTGATCAGTTCAGTAGTCTTATATAAAAGCTCTGTGGCCCTCATCCCAGGATTGTTTGTCAGCCTCTGAACCATATTCTTCCTTAAGGAATCATGACTAAATTTGGCTTTCTGTGTTCTCTGTCACAGAGGTCTTTGTACAGCTTAAAGAATTGTTTGTAGCTGATACCACTTGCAGCATGACAGATGCATGGAGTGTTAAGTTAGGAAGTCTTTGCTTTATTTGTGTATCATCTACAGCGAAGAATAAAGAACAGGAGAAAGTGGTTATGTTCTGATTGATTGATTTACTTCTTTTTCTCTCAGGGAAAACATGAACCTAAGCTACTCTGAGATACTTCACTCCTACCAGTATATATTCTTATCTGTCAATTAAAGATAATGTTCACTGTCACATTTATAGTGTGCACTGAATCATAAGGAAAGTAATATTCTTCTTTGAAGTAATGAAGTGAATTAAATGCTCTCTGTGAGGTTGGAAGTATCTTTCATTTTATGATCTCTTCAAGTTCAGAAGTCTTAGCAATTCAGTTGTTTGGGCTGTTGCTAGGAAGGTTTTTTTCCTCATCTGTGATTAATAGATTGAGCTGTGGAAGCCAATTGCCTAAAAGTAGGCACCGCTCTTCAGTGTGCGTTTTGTTGCAGAATTGAGTCTGTGGAAGTGATGTCTCAGTTTTGTCAAGGTAATGGAGCTGTAGGTCTGGAAATGCATTTAGCTTTTCTGGGTCGTGGTCTAGAGTTTCTCATCTGTTGTAAAAAAACAATTTAACCCTTTCACGTCCTGTGTGAATAAACTCTGGTGTGAATAAAATAAGGAATAAAAGATGTTCTTCCTTAAATCTTTAACTTCCACTTTAAAATAGCAGAGATAGCAAACCGGAATGATAAAATGCTTGGTTCTTAAGGCAGGTTTCTATGCTTAATTATACTTAAGGAAGTGAAGTATTCATGTCAAATGAACACGAAGCTAGGAAAATCAAACAAGTAAAACTTGCACGAAAACATGATGTGTGCAGCACAACTTTGTGCAACACTGAAAGAAACCCTCATGGCTTGAGGTAAAGACAGTTTAGTTAAGAAAAAGCAAAGGCCATGTGCAGGAGGAAAGAGGGGGAGAAACCAATTACAATTTTATTCCCTACTTGCCACCAGCAGGTGATGGGCAGCCACGTTGTGGGAAGCAGGACCTCAGCTATATATAGGAGTTGCTTTGAAAGACCAACCCCTTAATAACAGATGCCCCACCCTGCCCTCCTTTCTCTTAGCTTTTATTGCTGAGCATGACATTGTATGGTATGGAGTATCACAGACTGGTTTGGGTTGGAAGGGACCTTAAAGCTCATCCAGCTCCAGCCCCCTGCCATGGGTAGGGACACCTTCCACTAGAGCAGGTTGCTCCAAGCCCCATCCAACCTGGCCTTGAACACTGCCAGGGATGGGGCAGCCACAGCTTCTCTGGGCACCCTGTGCCAGTGCCTCAGCACCCTCACAGGGAAGAACTTCTGCCTAAGAGCTCACCTCAGTCTCCCCTCTGTCAGGTTAAAGCCATTCCCCTTGGCCTGTTCCTAAATACCTGTGTAAAAAGTCCCTCTCAAGATGGGTTGTAGGCCCCCTTTAGGTATTGGAAGACTGTTATAAGGTCTTTGGTCAGTTCAGGTCAATTGTCCTGGCTGCGTTCCCTCCCAGCCTCTCGTCCATCCCCAGCCTACTGGTCTTTGGCGAGTGTTGAAGACACAGCCATGATGCTGTGTGAGCTCCACTCAGTGATAGCCAAAGCATCAGTGGGTTTATCAACACCATTCTAGCTACAGATACAAAGCACAGCAGTACATGCGCTGCCGTGGGGAAGTTAACTCCATCCCAGTCAGACCCAGTAAAGTATGAGAGGATAGTGCAAAGCTCTAGCCTAGTTTTACCTTGAAATGGTCTTTCGTAACTGTTTTGATGAAATATTATGGTGGAGTGAGGACAGATGTGGTGTTGATATCACTGTGGCTACTTAAGGTCAGCTCTTGTTATCACCTCCGCCAAGGTTTACATGGCTTAGCTCCAGGTAAGTAAAACTGCAGAGCTTCATTCCTGTATTAAAATACTTCTTACTATTTATGCTGTATTAGCTGAGGTGATTTGGGAGCTGTCAGCTGCATAAAAAGAAGCGTGACCAGCACGTCAGGGGAGGTGACTCTCCTTCTATAGTCCATTCTCATGAGTACTCTCACCTGGAGTATGGGTTCCAGCTCTGGGGACCCCAGCACAGGTAAGACGTGGACCTGCTAAGGCAGATCCAGAGGAGGACCATGAAAATGATCAGAGGAATGGAACAGCTCTTCTGAATGAGTTGGGATGCTTCAGCCTGAGAAAGGGAAAGCGCTCGGGATATTGTATTGCAGCCCTGCAGCCCTTTCAATACTTCAAGGGAACTTCATAAGAGAGACTGATGGAGACTTTTTATCTAGGCCTGCAGTCACAAGAAAAGGGCAATCTTTTTAAACTGACAAAGAGGAGATTTAGATTGGACCTAAGGAAAATATTCCTTAGGGAAGTGGTGAGGCGCTGGCACAGGGTGCCCAGAGAACCTGTGGCTGCCCCATCCCTGGCAGTGTTCAAGGCCAGCTTGGACGGGGCTTGGAGCAACCTGCTCTAGAGGAAGGCGTCCCTGCCCATGGCAGGGGGTTGGAAGTGGATGAGCTTTAAGGTCCCTTCCAACCCAAACTAGTGTGGGATTTTCAGAAATGACCATTTCAGCAACTTGTGAAATTAGTGTGGTCTTTATCCTTTTTGAGAGAAAAAAAGATAAAGGATGAGGAGCAGGTTTTAATTTGGCAGTTGTAAAAAATGGTGACTTCTACTGTTGTTTTCTACTATTGTTTCAGGGTCATTCCTTGCAGCCCTGCTCACCCCTGTGTCAGACCAGCTCTGGACTCCATGGGCTGCCCAAACAGCCCAGCCACCTGCCCTGTTGGCCATAGCTACAAGTCTTTTTCATATTATTATTCCACAGCAAAATCCAGCATAACCATGTAGGCAGCTCCTGTAAAATTTTGAACTAAAAGTAGCATTTAGGATGGGAAAGACTAACTGAAGAGGTTATATTTGCCCATGTTATTTTTTCAATAGTTTTTAATAAGAGAGATATCTTTCAGGTTTTATCTTTTTTACTTTTTCTTTCCCTCCCTCTTTTTCTCTTCTCCTTCAAAAACTACTTTGACGTCCTTCAATATGATAAAAGCTGGACCGCATCCATCTTTAGAGGAGTGGTGGGAGGCGGCATGGGCTGGGGTTGGGTCAATTTATTGCTCAGGCTTTTAAGTGGAACTGGAGGAAACTGTGAAATGGAGATTGCAAGGAGAGGTGAGCAATACATTATTTTCTTTCCTTTACGATTACTGTTTCAGCTGCAGGGTATAAAAACATGTTGAACAAAAAAAAAAACAGTGTAACTTAGTTTTTAATGATTTCAGATAATCCTTTCTCTGCATGTGAAGGTAAAATAAAATGTCAATGACTCTTCTGTGTTTAACAAAAAATACATCTTTGAACCTTTTGTTCAACACTCCCTTATTTGTTTGTTGTGGTTTCCCAAGGCTATTGTGCATTAACAATATCTGCATTGTGCAACTGCTTGCAGATCCTGTTATTATGCCACACATCTGTGGGACTGGAAGGACAGCTCAGGTTGCAGTGAGATGCGTTTTCCCTGTGTTCAAGTGATTCTAGAGATAGGGAGTGAAGGATGGTGGGGGAATGGAGCTGTGAAGTGTTTGAACTGTGAGGATGTGCACTGAAAATGACAATGAATGTTTAGAACACCAGAACCCTGTTAGGGTCACATCCATTACAGTAATGTCAGGTATTTACTTTCAGACAACTTAGATAAGAGGTTTTGTCAAGCTCAGTTTTCAGTATTTATAATGAGAGCAGCTAATGGAGGAAAGAGGAGGTGCTGCTATGGACCCTTTAGCTTACAGACCTTGGCATGTAAACTTAAAGCTTAGAACTACTCAGATAAACAAGTTTAAGTGCTTATTCATTGTTTGGAGACTTTGGAAAAATACTGGAAGTTTTCTAGGGACTAGAGAAACGGAGACACTTACAGAAAACAATCAACCCTTAGGTATTTCTGTAGGTAGTCAATGACACGCAGAACAGGTAAGTGTCCAAATCCTGGAAAAGTTAATGGGAATTGGATGTTTCATTGCTTTTACCTCCAGAATTATTTCTTGTGAACCTATTATCTACCAAAATGAGTTGCATTTGGATGTTTCTCTTCCTTGCATGCTGCCTCCCCCTCTCCCTTATTTTTTCGGAGGACATAGACCATCACAGCCTGCAGCTGAAGTACAGTTTCTTTGCTAGCTATAAACTACTGTGCACTTCTGGTGGAAGAAACAGCCAAGTAGATGGCAGGTGAATTTGAAGCTTTGAGGCCATAGTCTTCATATTTCATGATATGTGATTCCACAGCAGCGAGGGTGGAACTAAATGATCTTAAGGTCCTTTCGAGCCCTAACCATTCTATGACCACACTGTCTAGATCATTATTTGGCTGGCTGGGTTTTGAACTTCAGCAGAAGGTAGCTTTGGGTTCAAAGGAGAAAATAGAGTCTACTGTTGCTATAAATTTCTGCTCATAAGCTGAACTGTGATTTCAGTGTAGCACACTACTGCTTCCACTGGAGCTTGTAGGAGCAGGATCAAGGACAGGCAATTCATAACCTCTTGAGGTACACTCCTGTGGTCATATCTGGTGGAAGAGACCATCTTTCTGACATCCAACCAGTGGTTCCAGCTCTTGGTTTGCCTCCCTATTCTGTACACTGGTAGACTTACTGGTGAAATAGATGAGGGCCATGACCCTGACTGACTACTCTTCTCCCCCAGTCTTCTAGCAACTGTTTTTAATATGGATCACTTCCCTGCTGTGACAAAGCACAATGTAGGAGGTGGTAAGCTCTGGCACAGCGGTGGGAAAGACGTGGGAGTGGGAATACTTTGTGGCCAGAAACCTCAGCTCTTCAGTTGATTTTTAATGGGCATCTTTAACCATGTGTAGACCCTGGAAAGCAGGAGTAAACAGGTTATGACTACATGACAATGATCTTCTGTACTGCTAAGCCACAGCTGGGGGTCACACGCTGTTGGGCTAAGCATGAATGTGCTCAGTGCAGCAATGTGATGAGTCTTTGCTGGCCGGGCAGTTGTCAGTGAGGCAAGGAGGTGCTGCCCACCATTGTCTCTTGGGGTAGGTCTCTGAGGGTTTTATACCTCCTCTTTGTTATTTTTTGAGCCCTCGAGTGACCATTTCTAATGCCACAATTTCTTTCACATACTACTTACTTAACTCAGAGTATTGCTTCATATTACAACAATTAGAGTAACTAGAGCCAGTGTTTCTTCATCCAAAAGCATATTTTTGTGACTAAAGGTATTTTAGCAAGTCCCAAAGCAGAAGGCTTTTGTGAATGCATGAGAAAAATGGAGTGAACCCAACATTCCTGCCTTAACACTGGTTAATCCATTAACAGTGATTCGGAGAAAACTCCAGGAACAAACTTGCCAACAGAGTTTCAAGTTGACAAGCAGGTATTCTTTATCGCGGCGCCGGGAGACACGGGGGATAGCTCTTCCTAACGTGTGTCCCCGAATTGCTCTACAGGTCATCCTTACATGGTCACTGAGCATATTACATCATTTTCCAAAAGGTTTCCGGCATGCATACAAAATGTGGTGGTCTTTAAGGGTCGTTTACTTTTCCCAACAAGCTTAATTAACATTACAGACATAGCAATCATCCTGGCCTTCTACTTATCAGTTAGTTTAACTGCTCTCATCCTGGGCATCTGCTAGTCCGGGGTACTCCCCATCCCAGGTCCTGTCCTTCTAGTCTGCTTTTCTCACACCTTTTGTACTGAGGCCCTGAGGGCCTGAAACTATGTCAACTACCTCCAAGCACCGCAGTTACTTTCCATTACAAAGCCATCAAACTTAACATTACTTAGAACTGATTACATTTTGTACTTTTGTGCCTCCTTGTCTCAACAGAAATCTCTTATATTTACCTGCACTTTTGTGTGTGCTTGGATCCAAAGAGGTTCAAAACTGATGCTGCTGGGACCTGTGGGGTTTGTGTGTTGATTACTTTTAATAGCTTGTTTACTGTTATGAAAAGGTTTCTTTATTGGTTTGTTACTGTCTCCCTAAATAGTGGACCCAGAACCTTTTTACACATGAAGGCAACAAGTTCATTCTTGGCAATTGCAAAAGTTCACTGAGCTTTACAAAGAGTGGTTTGTTCTTTTATCTCCCTGTGTGCACAACCTTTTAGCCTCTTGCAAGAAGAGGGGAAAAGATCACAAGAAAAGCTGAGGTGGGTTTGACCTCTTTGCAGTCTCATGTCCTGTGCTAGCTCTAAGCCTTTTTGGCTCGGGCCCTGGCCTTTCCCTTGACACATCTGATGGCATGACAAGTGTGATAATTACTGTGAAAAGAAAGTGAAGCTGTGGCATTAGTAGGGTCATTTGGACTGGAGGAAAGTGGATTTATGAAAAGGAGGTATGTTCCTTCCTCTTCCTTCTACCTTGAAAGAGCTCAAGCACTGTCCTTTCACATTATCTTTGCAGTGTACGTGCTTGCTGCCGGCTGGCTGGCTGCTCCCTCAGAGCAGCCAAAGCAGGAGCTGTGCGTGACCCTGGCACATGGCTCACCCATGGGTGCTGTCCTGCTGGTGCCTGAGCCAAGTGGGAAAAAACAGAGGCTGGTAATGAGTGAGGAGCCTGGTCCAAGCTCTGGCTGGAGGCAGCAGATGATGCAGCTGGAGAGAAGGCTGCAGCAGGGGTCCCAGGTCCATCTGGGAAGCAGGGCTGGAGATGACCTGGAGTATCCACACATGAGCTACCTATAGTGGAGGGCTGAGGCTCATCCAAGAGGTAGGAGCAGAGCTGGGCTACCTAAAACAAAGCTCAGGCTGGGGCCCTGGGTACAGGGTGTAGGGAAAGGTCCCAGGTGAGGCTGGTTGGAGCTGTTAAGACCTTTTAGTGCCCATGGAATCCTGGTGCTCTGTAACTTCATCAGGCCTTTGTCCTCTCATGAGCTTTGGGAGGACGCAGTCCTTTGAGTTTACTAAAGCAGCTTCAAATGATTTCCCTCCCCCCCCTCCCCCCCCCTCCCCCCCCCCCCCCGAGGAAGACAAGCCTTGCTAGGTTTAACAGTGATAGATGGAAAATGCATTTATCATCTGATTACTAAATTCTGGCCTTGTTAGAGGCATTCAACTTGATTAATTATGAGGAGCAATGTTAATTATTCTGTCTCTTAGCTGAGAGCTCCTAGAGGTAGCTCAGGTCTGATGCTCCAGCCCCAAGGTGTAATGAGATACACAGCAAGGTGTCACAGACCTTTGAGTTGAAGTTGCACACAAGGCTGTACCATGGGCATTTCTGGGCTTTCTCTGAGAGGACAGCAGAGGTCTGAGTGGATTATCCTTCAGGAGTTTTTATGTAGCGAAGACACTCCAAAGCAGTGATGTGAATGCAAAACTGATTTAGGTAAGGATGCAGTTGGATCAGCTGATGGGATCTTCCAGCCTTCTACTACTGAAAGGAGATGGTCCTGCTTCCCTCTTGCATTATCTTATAGTCACCCTGCATCCTCCCTGCTTCATCTCAGTGCAAGGTGACTTGAATTTTACATTAGGGTGAAAGTTAAATAAATCCCTGCATTCATGTCTGAATGTTAATGATTCACAATTGAATATTTCAAGTCTTCCCTCCTTTGCTAGTCTTGGTGGCCTATTGCACATTGTTCTCTTGAAATGTCTATAGTTATGTACTGTAATTATAAATACGAAATAAATACGCCCTTTCAAACAGAGAGATTTTAAACAGCTCTTTTCTTGTCCCACATTGCCTGCTCTGCCAAAGGTGTACAAAGGCTGCATGAATCTAAAGGAAGCTAATTTCTTCCTGCATTATTTTTCATGTCTGCTGGCTCAGTGTGAGCACTTGGTATTGGCATTGTGCTATCAGGCAGGGACTATTGAAAGAGAGTGCTCCAAACTCTGTCTTGTAATCAGAAATAAAATGTGCCAAGTACTTCTATTAGCATAACAACATAAAAATCTCCCTAATCACCAAGGGTAGCTGCCTCCTGTGGCAGCTCTCTGAAATGTGTACTTGGTTACTATGAATTCCGCTTTTCTTAAGAGGTTTTTTGTGGATGTTCTTGTAAACATAGGTGCAATTAAACTAAAAGAACAGTTTCTGAAGGATAGTGGAAAAGCCTCTCTGCTGCTCTGTGTTGTGTGTTAAACCCATAGCCAGAGCTGGGGGTCAGAAAGGATTTTTCCCTTGGGTGAGATTAGTGAGGATCATCTATGTGCCTGTTTCCTTGCTTGCCTGTTCATTTTTTCTGCATTTCTTGCAATGTTGAGGGGCATTTGCTTGCTTGGGAATTTCCACCTTTCACTATTCCTGCTGGTGCAGGACCTAAAGTAGTCTCATTTACTGTGCAATTATGTGTTCTGGGTACTTTTAGCACTGAAATTGCTTCCTTGCTTCCCTGTCCCAAACTCTACTCATACCATCATGTTTCGTGTGTGTAGGTAAAATGAAGAAACACTGCTCCTGACACACTGCTACCTCTGCAACCTTAGATGTTTGTTTCTTTGCCCATCCACAAGTCTGATTCCCCTTGTCTCTCCTTCTGAAGTCATTCAGGTTATCAGGATGGGGCATGTGTGCAGGTTATCTGATGGCTTGGCTGCATGTGGCTAAATGCTTCTCTTGCATGAACAGTGTTGTAGTGACAATCTCATGGGTAGTGGTTCTATTCAGCGACACCTTGGTATCTGCATGGTACTGCAGACAGCCAATGACCTAGTGTTTCCACTGTTGGCATGTCCGAACTCTGAGAACAATTTGCATGTCTGGAAGTATTTGGTGGGTTTAGGTGGTTTTCAGGCAATACCTTTTCTGCTTTTGACCCTTTTGAGTGCACTGGGAACAAGACACCCATAGGAAGTAGGGTTCTGGGGGAAGCTGTCTGCTTAACTTGACATCGCCAGACTTGGATGGGCAAGATCCCAAGGGGAGAGTCCTTGGTATGTGGCCATGGACCACCTCACACTCCTACCAGGTCACTGGGGCAGCAATCCTGAAGGAGTCAGCAGAGCAGTGCTTAATATTTCCAACCTGCAAGTGAATAAATTACTCCTGTCTCTCCTGGTAGTTAATGATTTGGGGCAGGATTCAGCTCCTCTATGGCCAGAGATCCAATTTTTAGGCAAACACACAAGCTGGTCAGCTAGGCTCTCCCTGTATTCTAACTGAAATGGCGTGGAACAACCGCATTTCTGTAGGTGCCTATGTCTATTCCTTGATTATAGAGCATGTCTGCCTGATGAGCTTAGGCTGGAGGCCTGCTTTTCAAATGGCTGGAATTCAAATGAAAGTAATTGCAAGAAATGGGAAGTGTAGAAAGCAAAGGCAGGGTGCTTCCAGCTCAATGTCCTGGGGTGAAAGCTGCCTGTTGCAGTACAGGGATTTAGCCCAAAGTAAGTTAGTAGGAAGTAAAGGGCAGATGGCAGCCAAATAGAATATTATGTGCTGGGTCTCTCGTACTTAAAATAGTATATGACATATTAGAACTAGTTTTGGTGCTTCAGATGTTTAGGAAGATGTGGGCTTATGTATGAAAACACTTTCTAGCTGATAATTCTCAGTGCACTCGCTTTAAAAGAAAAAAATCAGATTAAAGCAGTAAGAGAAATGGAAAACTCAGAAGCATCATAGACTTTGACAACAATGGAATTCTAACCATGAAAAAGATGCTTGTTGGATCTCTGACTTTTGATTGACAATAAAATATTAACTTGTATATAATTCAAAGGGAGTTTCTCTTCCCTAGCTTGACTATGCTTATGATTAAAGTATTCATTGGTTAGTTTTGAGATTTAAGTAAATCTGCTATGCACATAGCGATGACAGGTCTGGTACCTGTCTCTTATTCCCTGTGGAAACCCCTTTTCCTCCTCCCTTATCTTTCAGAGTAGTATTCCCTGATTTAATTCTTCTGGGACAGAATTGTGCTGCCCTTCTCCCAAGAGATAGGGTAGAACAATCACTGATGTATTGTATGTGGTATGAAAAGGTGTTTGTGTGCGTGCTCCTGTGGGGGTGTGTGTTCTGTGTACATTTCAAACCGCCTTTCTGAGGCTTAATTTCCATTTATTCAAGTGTTTCTGTATCAACAAGGAAAACAACCAGTTCTGCAAACAAGATGCAGTTTGTGTTCATGTAGCATCAAGGACGCTCTGATCCAGCCAAAAAACCTTGGGTCTAGGAACTGTGTGGCTGTAGTAGGCAGTTTGTTTCCAGATACCTGTTAAGAGGAGTTGGAGCCGTTTCTTGTTTTACTCACTCATGTTGGTACAATTGAAGCAGGAGCAGCTGGAGCACTCCCTTAGGTTGTCAGTGCTAGGTTGTCATTTATACCTGGGTGCTTTTTAGCCTTTTTTAAGGTAATTTGAAGAATTCAGCTGTCATGATAACTCCAATCCTTGACTTCAAATTGTGGTCTAGAAAGGTAAAATCCAGGCAGAAGGAACATATGGTTACAATACAAGTAAAAGCAAGTATATACACAGCCTATATAAAAATAGGGAAAAGCAATGCTCTGGACTTCTTTGGGAGGGTACATAGTTAATGTGCTGTTACCATGTGGAACCAATGGTATGTTAAAAGCCAAATACTGATAGGAGCCTGGCATGCAGGACATTGACTGATAAGAAGCTGTTCAAGCCGCCAAATTTCCCCTCCAGGCTGGAGGGGAAGGAGCAGATCTTGATCTTAAGAGCTAGGGCAGCTTTGTTGAGTCTGGTGAAGTTGCACCATCACAAGATCTACTTCCTTGCTCTGTCTACTGTAGCATGCCCTCAAGATTTTCATTCACATGGTAGATAAAGCATGTCTGTGGGTTCCTTGAGCACAATGAAATGTCTTTGTTATTTAAAACTAACTTTGTAGAAGAGGGCAGAGAGGAGGAGAGAGAAATCCAGCAAGGGGAAACTTGTTAGTTTTATAATGAGTGACTTGCAAAGCAAAATAGTGGCTTTCATGATGTGTCTGGCCACAGCCCAAATCATCAAGGAGGACAATGCCTGCCAGGGATACAATGATTTGGATGCATGCCCTAACTGGTCACTGCTGTTCTGCTATATGGTAACTTTCCAAGAGGGATAGTGGGAAGGAATGAAGGAAAATTCACTACCAAAGTAAATTATAGTGCAAGTGCCATGAGGATCAGAAATGTCTCTGACAAGGCAGAAAGGAAAATCAGTATTACTTTAATTGTGGGATAGTCCCAGGAATGCTATTAGAAGCAGAATTCTGTCATCATCACATGTATATAACAAAATCCTGTAGCATTAATTCTTCTGCAATCTGTTTTTTAATGCAGTAGTCCAAAGCTTTAGTTAGTTGTCTAATGGCATAATTTTTATTGGCTCTGATTTTGGTTGAATTGCTTTCAAGAACTGCTGCTGTAATACAGAGAATCACATTATACTGGAGAATCATACTTCAGTAGTGTGCGAAATGAGACCAAAAAATCAAGTTAAAATGTAAAGACAAACAAAATCTGATCAGCAGCACTGCAGAATTGCAGCATTAAGAATGATTTTTGTTGAAATTCTATTATTTGTTTAAGAACCTGCAAACAAACGAGAAAAATCTCACTTAAAGTGGAACTACACCCAGAGGCAGGGATGCT